TCAGCGCGTGGAAACTGGAGCATGGCCTTGCCGCACACACAGCAGTCCTAGGCTGCCTTGGAAAAGCAAGGTCCTGGGAGAGTCCCACTGGGATTCCTCCTGCCCCTCTGCCCACTCCCACACCTGATGAGTGGGCTTTGGGAGACCCACCCCTCTCTGGTGGGGGGAAGCAGTAGCACAGACCTGGAGCTGCTGTGGTGTCTTCTGTAATGCTAACGGAGCCCTGTAGAGGGAATGCTTTGGTAAGACTTCAATGAGGCTGTGTATCGCTGTGCTCTGTCAGGGACCAAATTCATTCTTTGTGTCACCACCTGCTGAGTTCAGGAGTTAACATCAAGCACAATTTTACCCAGTAGTTTTTTTCCTGAGATTCTTATCATGCTATAATTCGCTTTAAAATTTCATCCCTGACTGAAGAGGGTGCAAGTGTCCATTTGATTCAATGCAAGGGATAGGCTTTGATCCTGTCTTATATGGGCATCAAAAGCTTAAGATGACGTGCATATTAAAAGTGCTTTTCACTGTCAGCTTGCAGAAGGCCCCATGGCCAGATGTAACAAAAGGGAATCCATAGTGTGTTGTTTACTAATTTCTCCTATGCTTCATTTTATATCAGCACGGGGAAATCATAACACCTCCTGAACAATGCCAGGAAACAGGCTTTGTTCACTAAAACTAAAATCACAAGCCCATCAAAAATACTCCAACATTATGTATTATTTGTGTTGATTAAAAATCTGCTTGCAACACTGGGTTTGCTATTGATCATAACACTGTGCGCTGACCTAGTCCTTTCCCTCCGAGATATCAAAGACCTTAAAAACCTACCTCATCCCAGCCCTCCAATCCACTGTGCCCACAGATCATCTGGGCCACAGACACTTTCTGATGGCTCCAAGCTTCGCCCCTCTGCTCTAGCACTGCTGCCTTGCCTTTCTGAGGTGCAGGGATTTTCCTCTACTGAAATGCAAGGTCCACCTGGGAGGGAAGACGAGGGAGCAGAACAGGTGACAATGCATGGTGTCCACTCGATTCAGGTCTCGCTCACTCAAACCCACTGGCCATCCTGCTGTCTTTGCTGCTAATGGAGGAGTCTTTCACCGGGTACTCATCAGGACCAGAAGGCATCTGGACACCCAGCAGCTTCAATGCCACCTCCAGAGCATGCAGGTCACCATGCCTCATTGGCCACCTGGGCATCAGAGTGACAGCAAGCCCCTTGTGGATGGCGGAAGGGCGGATCTGTGCCATTAACATTTCCGAAAGCACAGACATACCCACCGAGTCCTCAGAGCAAGTCTTAATCATCACAGGGACTTCCTCTGTGGATATTAATAATCTCCTCGCTTCCTCTGAGGAGCCCCCCTGCCTGCCGGGCCCAACCTCTGCAGAAGCATCAATAAAGCTCAAACTTTGAAAGGTTTCACCTAGAAAAAAACAGCTTTTCTTGGGAAAAAGATGAAGCAAACATCAGGCAGGCCCAGCAATACACTGCACCTGTGTCTGTGGTGCAGCTGCAGGAGGCTTCTCCTCCCCTGTTGACTTGGGATGATTGCTCTGCAGGGTGTCTCTGCTCTGCTCCTCCTTCCCCCAGCCACCAGCCTGGGATCTGCTAGGCAGATCAGCGCTTGGAAGGGTCTGGGAGAAGCACTTCCGCTTCCTGTGGGGAAGGATATGATTTAAAGCCTTGTAAATAAAAGGCTTGGCTCAGAAAATGCCTGTGTGCCTTCAAGACACGGTGCAGCCATGAGCAGAGGCAGCGTGCCCCATTACAGAGGGTGCTACCTCCTGGTGGCCTGGCTCAGGGTGGTGAGGAGGAGATGGGGCACTGCCTGACCACACAACAGCCTGGCTGCGGCCTGTCTGGGACCTCTCAGAGGGGTCCCAGACCCCAGGACTCCGAGGCCCCTCTCAACACGGACACCTGCTGGTTTCCACATCCTAAGGGCTGACTCTGGTGCTGAGGTGGCAACCTCAGGAGGGGCTGACTGGCCATGGTCAGGACTGCACCTTCTGGAGAGCTGCCACCAAGTTGGGCGCCCAGGTCAGAGCACAGCTGGTCCCGGGTGGCCCCTGCTTTACCTCCTCGGAGCGATCCCCACTGAATGGAGTGAACAGGCCTCACGGCTGGCTTGCACATGGCAATTCCCTCCTCATGGGGCAAGCACCCTGGTGTGGCTACGTGCCAGGGGAGATCGGCCTTCACATCTGCATCTCTGTGCAGCCTGTTACCAGGCATCCATCGTCTGCTTATCCCACATCAAGTGAACTAGTGTCCACGCTCTGTCCTAAGTTCCTCTTACCTTTTTAATCATAAAGGGATAAAAAGCTACTTTGGGAGAAGGGCCAACAGCGCTCGAGGAGGGGATGAACTCCAGCAAGAGCAGGGAAGTCCTGCTGTCCTGCTTCAGTAGGGAACAGGCAGTTGTCTTAGTCTGCCAAGGGTGTATCTGGGCTCAGAAACCAAGGAGCACAGACTCATGCAGAAAAACATCCAAGAAACTGCAGCTTGGCTGATTGAGACTTAGGAAGATAACACCAAAAGGCAGAAGTTGCAGTCCTCCATCCCTCTCTGTTCTGGTGTTCCCTCCACGCACAGGCCATCTGCTCCACATCCCACGCTCTGGCATCAGATTTGACATTTCTTTATACCTAGAGGGTGTCTTGACCGGCTCTCCAGTGTGGTCAGAAATCTGAGGTTGCACTGGGTTAACCCTGGAGGCAAATAATTTACCAAGGTTCCTCAGGAACATAAAGCTGGCGATTCCCTCTGGCTTTTTAAGGACACCCCTGTGGGAAATAGCTGGCAGCACTGCTCTGTCCTGGTGCACCTTTCATTTTTGCAATGCGATACTGGCCAAAAGCAGCCTACAGAGAGGCAGCGTAGCTCAAGGAAGAGTGCCTTATACTAAAAGTCAGGGGATATGATGCAAGGATATAGGAAATCTACCTACACGTTGCCTAGGAAATCCACTTAATGAACTTTCTGTACCCTTTCCCAGCTTCTGTCTGACGTGTGCAGAAGTGATGGTGGCATGCGTGCTCCTGACAGTGAGGACCATCAGGACCTGGGCATATTTTACCGAAGAATAAGAGGTATCTGGGTCTTCAGGGCAGTTTCCTCCCACAGCACAGTGCGGGGCCGAGGTCTGCAGGATACGCCGGCCCCAGGAGCAGAGAGGCGGCAGGGATGCTGGAGCCGGCTCCTTCAAGCTGCAGGCTCTGCTCGAGGCAGGAGGGACCCAG